GTTGCCATTGTACCAAGTGCTGTGTTTGTGCCTCTTTCCCTTCCAAAGGTAGTTCCCAGGACTGCTGTCCTGGTTGCCCCTCTCAGTTATGTTACTGCCTCACATCCCTAGTGAGAGCTCCAGAAATACTAGCCCCAGGAGGGGACAGCCACGACTTTCTGCCTGGTCCTCATCTTCCAGGTAGATTGCCCTGGCAGAGGGCTGTCCTTGCATTCAGGAATGTGTAGGAATTTCAGCTATGGCTGGTACTGGCATGGGAGAGGGAAAAGTCCCTTGCAAGATCACACCCTAAAGGCACTGCCTTGCATTTGGGGGGGGCACTTGTCATCCTTGCAAGAGGAAGATTGTGGAAAAACGGCAGCCTGTAGTGTATGGAATTGGCACAGGTTGCTTCAGCATGTAGGATGGTGCAGCCTGGTTCCTCTAGTGGGGATGTCAAATCACCCGGGGTTCTGGGCTGGATCTGGATGGTGGGGGCTTCTCCTGGGCCAAGCCTGTAGGCCCAGTGGCAGCTGTGGCAAATCTGGTAGTAGAGACAGGGGTCTGGGGCCAGCGACGGAGGGCTGGGAGTGACTGCAGAGGCCCAGGAGCAATGACAGGTTTCAAGCAGTGGCAAGCATCTGGGAACAGTGGCATAGGTAGGGTAGCAGCAGTGGCACAGGTCCATGGGTAGTGGTGGGGATCGGGCGGCAGCCGGGAAAGCGAGGGGTATATCTGTTCGGCTCCTGTTTGGTCCCCTGCTCCTGTCAGCAGTGTCCACCAGGGCCCAGGGACCCTGAGTTGTGTAGGAGGCCGTGGTTTATTAGCCCTGGCCCCAACTTCTGGTCATCCATCAGACTAACAGTAGGAATGGCAGGCTGAATGGGATGTTAGCCAGCTCTGCCCTAGTGCATCCAGTATGCTTTTAAGTGGATGCAAAGGTGGGGCTGGGGTTGTGACCTTGCTCCCATCCCCTTTGCTTATCCTAGCTCCTTATTGCTGCAGGGAGGGAACAGCCATTGCACACCCTCCCCACACCCCTCAGCTCAAGAGTGGGCTTGGGGGAAAGATCCTGGTTCCCTCTCCTACCATCACATATCGACCATAGAAGTCTTACGTGGGCCAGACAAAAGGAGAAGCCACAGGGTCTAGGATACAGGATGAAAGCCACCTACGTGCACCTCTGCCTGCAGAGCTGTGCAAAAGCCATAGAGGGTGGTCACGTACTAAGCAGCTACTTCTGCCCTGACCTTCTCAACAACACCCATCCAAGTGAGAGGGTAGCTGGGGGAGAACTGGCCATAGCTAATGCTGGCTGGTACAGTCGGTTTGTACGAGGGCAAAGCAGGGTGAAATAAATGAGATGGTCAGGCTGAAATTCAGTAAGGCCAGTATGAAGTACTGCATTGAAGAAGGAGCAGTCAGATGCTCTGGAAACAAAATGGGGAGCAACTGGCCAAGCTGCAGTGTTGCAGGAGGAGAATTTGGGGGTTTTAGTGGACCACAAGCTGAGTGTCAGTCTATGTCATAATACTTTTGCAAAAAAACTTTGCTAATGGCACACTTACTAGGGCAGCGGTGCCCAACCTTTCGTGGCTGTGGGCCAGATGAGTGGTGTGGGGTCAGTCCCATTGCCTTAGCTCTAAATGCTGGATCAGAGCCCTGGCTTTGTGTGCACTGGATTGAGCCTTCTTCCCCAGCCCCATGCATGCCTAATCAGCCCCACTGCCCTGGTCCCAGCCCCAACACTAGCCTCGTGCATGCCAAGTCAGGCCCACTGCCCCATCCTCAGCCCCTTGTGCACTGAATTGGACCCACTGCCTTGGCCCAGTATGCTAGCACAAAGGGCCACGTCATTTCCTCCATGGGTAAGGCCCTACTGAATTCATGGTGGAAGTGGACTGCACCGCGGCTCCTCGAATCTTGCAGATTCCCCCACATGCACCCCCACTGCTTGCAGCTCACTCCTGATCAGCAGGGAAACGAAAACCGCGGTTTTAATCATGGTGTTATTTTTGCCTCTCTGCCAGTGAGCAGCAAGGAGAGGAGCCACCCAGGCCCCTCAGCCAATCAGTGGCAGGCGGCAAAAACGGCACCATATTTAAACCCGTGGTTTTGGTTCCCTGTTGATCAGGAGCGAGCCGTAAGCGGGGCCTCTCCACCAACAAAAATGATGCAAGGTCTAGCAAACATTCTTGTGGGAAAAGTTTGGACAAATTAGGATTATTTAGTCTAGAGATGATAAGACTGAGGGAGGATTTTGATAAGAGCCTCCAGATGCACAAAAGGTTGTTGGAAAGAGGTTACCAATCATTTATGCTCTGGGTCACAAAGGACAGGACAAAAAAAGTAATGGGCTGAAGTTGCAAGGAGAGATTTTAGGTTGGGTATTAGGAAGACCTGTTCCCACCAAAACAGATTAATCAGAGAGGTGGTATAATTTCTGTCTCTGGAAGATTTTAAATGCAGATTAGGCAATAAATTTGTCTAATGGTGGTGTCACAGGGCGGGGCCCAGGAGTGGCCGTGATCCCCCTAGCGCCCCTACCGTGCCAAGTCGCCCTTCTAGCATCCTCGTCTCGCCCACCACGTCTTTGCTGTTTATATAATTTTAAAGGGGAGGCTGCCTTTCCAGGGCTCCTCGGACCCGGTGCTCCTGTCCTATGTGGATATCTCTGGGTGCTCCCACCCTAGGGCGTCGCGTGGCTCCTTCTGCCCCCAATTTCACGCCCAAGCCTCGCCGGTGTTCCGGACGTTCTCGTGTCTACATATACTTGCTCCCTCCGGGGCCTGTCCAGTATACGCGCCCTTCTCCGGGCTGCTAATTGCACTTCTCAACCTCTCGGGCTTGTACCTGCGCACTTACCCCTAGCACGCCTAATGTAGTTGCCCCTCGCCTGGGGCCCTGTTGCTCGCTGCACAAGCCCTGTCTCGCCCCTTCCGGGGTTCAGCTAGTGTAATTACCCTCTTCAGGCTCCCGACCGCACGCTCTGGCCCTGCTTCGGGCCTCCAACCGCGTGCTTGCCCTACTCCGGCCTCTTACACTCACCCTCGCCCCCCCTTTATGGGGCCTCCCACCTAGACTCGCCTCGTCTGGGGCCTATGTCCGCGCCGCCCGCGCCCTCTCTGGGGCCTGTCCCAATATGCGCCTCTCGCACCTGCGCCCTCTCTGGGGCCTGTCCCAATACGCGCCTCTCACGCCTGAGCTCAGGTGGCCTGTAGCCGTGCCTGGCCCCTTGACCCTTCTCAGGGTCTTTCGCCCGACCGGGCAGAATACCGCCCTCGGGCTGGGGTCTCAACCCCGCCACACCAGCGCCAAACAGCCGTGCCTCCCAAGCACTGTTCTGTGCCTGAACAGGGCACCCAGGAACCCCCAGACTACTGGGGAGCTCCCATGAGGCCTCCTCACACCCCTACAGCCTCACCCGGTCCTCCGGTGTAACATCAAACCCAACGACAACTTAAAGCCCTGAGCCCACCGGCTGCAACACAAAATCAGCCTACCGGCTATAACACAGACAAGCCTCCTGGCTGGTCCTACATAAACCAAACACAAGCCATGAGCCAACTGGCTATACCCTCCATTAAGCGCCTCCCTGGCTACTCTCCGTCTCCCAGTCAGGGCTCTCTCCACCGCGTACCATAATGCCGATGCTCAGGTAGTCGGGCTGCTCTGCCCTACAGCAGAGCCTCCTGCTCTTCCAGCTGCCAGAGGGGGACTACCTCTGGCCTCAGCCTTCTCTGTTTATAAAGGCCAGGCCCTGCCCCCTGGCGGTCAGCTGACCCAATCTGTTGCCTAAGCAACCTTCAGCTGTGCTGCCCTGCTGATCGGCAGCCAAGCCCTATTACCCATGCTAGCAGCAGGCACCCTGGTGTCCTGCTACACATCTCCCGCCCCCCGGGATTGAGCCTTCTTAGGAACGGGGCGCGGAAGTGCCCTGCGACAGGTGGTTTGGAAAAGAATTATCCTGCCTCAATCAGGCCATTGGACCGGATGATCTTCTGAGGTCTCTTCCAACCCTATGTTTCTGTGCTTCTATATAGGTAGCTCAGGCACCCTGTGTGGGGGTGGGTGGCATGTGGCAGACTGGGGGGCAGGAGAGCAGGGAACACAGTAGTACATCAAGCAGGGAGCTGAAAGCAGAGCAGCAGATTGGGGAGGGAGTGCAGGGCAGGGAGCAGAAAGCAGAGCAACAGTTTCAGCAGGGAAAGGGCATTGGAGTGGCACCTGGGGAGGTTGCAAGACTTACCTTGTAGCACACCAGCCAAAAAGGTTATCCCCCACTGACCTAAATCATGCTCGATTCCTGCTCCTTCCACGTGACATCCTTGGTCAGCAGTTCTCACCTCTTTCTGTACCTGGGTCCTCCTCCCACGTAGCTGGGAACTTCTTCCAATTTACAACATAGAAGTAGAGTGATTATATCCCACCAGAGAAAGAGGGCAGATTGAGGAAGGAGAAGGAAAGGATTTAGACTAAGTGGGGTCTACGTGCAGTGTTTGGGACAACTCTGAAGAGTGCTATGATAGGTTTGAGATGCACACAGTCACTAGGGCTTTGCTAGCTCCCAGAAAGCTGGCTGCTATGTCCCCTCTTGCTCTGGGGTTTCGGGATTTCAGCCTGCTCTGGGAGGCACATTATTCGCTTTACTTGCAATAATTATTCTAAGCATATGTAGATCGTCACAGTGTAAGGAACGAGAGCCTCGCATCGCAGAATTCCCTTTCCGTTGTCACGGAGAAATTTCCTATCTGCTTTGTGAAGACCGAGAAGATATTTTGTGTGGAATCGTCTTAAGGCAGAGGCTGCCGCACTCGGAGGTTGAAGGAGAGCGTTAGTTAATATATTTATATTGTAACTGCTGTGCTTAACAATCGAATGAAAGCAAAGTGTTAGCAGAGGTCAAGCATTGTTTGAATGTGTTGCAAATGGTTTCCCAGGGAAACAGCAAATCAGTACTCATAGCTTACTGCAGCATCTCCAGAATAACATTGAGACACCAGCCATAGCCGGGTGCTCACTATAGTCCTGGGGACCCAAAGCAATGCAGAAACTAAAGACAGAGCGAACATACACGTAGGAGAACAATTGCAAATGATGAAGAAACATACGGCAAGAGTGGCACCGCTACCGTCTTACAATGTTCCCGAATTACGTTCACCTATATCAGATGGTAAATGCTCTTTTACTGTATCTCTAACCTTAGGGATTTGTTTAATCTATGGGTTACTCTTGTCCTTTTCCAATCAAACTAATTCATATATCTGTATACTCATTTTCAGGTATTTACAAAGTAACTAAATGTTTAAATATTTCTTGCAGTTAGTTTCATTTTTTTTTTCTCTTAAAACGAAGGCAGTCTGAAAAATATTTTCCCCTCTATATTTTGGATGAAGAAACTAAAATTTAAAATGAGACGGAACTGAACAAAGTTATTTTGCTTTGATTTTTTTACTGTTTAAAAAAAAAAAAAAAGGAAGAAAATTAGCTGAGTGCAATCTTACCCAGTTGTCCATGGCATTGATCTATCACGGAGATTTCTTTCTCCGTTTTAAACAGAAAGTCATGTTTTACGGCGTGCTGCTCACTTTCTAGGTTTGGTGTCCTTTAACTGAAGACAGTAGCGATAGCAATAGTTTCTCTAAGCGATTACCTTTTGTTTTTATCGTCAGACCTGGAGAAGTTTTGTATTATCCAAATGCCACAAAAGCGGCAACTGAGATGAAATGTTTCTTATCTTTCTGAAGCAAGTTGACAACCTGATGCAAAGTGCAACAGGGATGCTCATTTTTATTCCTTTCTCATTGCTGACTGACTTCACGTCACACACAAGTGTCAGCTGAAGAATCTAGCGGTATCGCTCAGCTTTAGAGATTGTCATGATGTGTTAGCTGCTGATATAGCCAGGTAGCCTGGGAAGTAGAATATATAACATACTCCCAGATATAAATCAAAGACTGGAAGAAAGGGTTTGGAAAAAATCCTCCGCCATGGCTTGATTTCCAGATGCGTTTGAATTTAGAACGTGTTCGTAGGATTCGCTGCCTTTAACTGCACTTTTCAGATTTACCAAATCTGAATTTAAAACATGTCAAAGAGGAGAAAAAAATACTTTCAAAAGTTGTTGACCCAGGCAGAAATGCATTCTTATTCTACCGCATACGTTAGGTTAGAAATAGTCTCACTGCCATATTGTAATATGCATTATGTCTGTGTTTCAGTTTTCGTGACTCTGAGCAGCAGAGAAATTGCTCTTTGTATTGTGTGTTAAACTTTGTATTACATCAAGGATAAAAAGAGCACTAGAGCACTTTGAGATCCTCTATTTGACTTGTCAAGAAAGCTTGATCATGTTGTGGCTCAAAGGTCTGCGGTCTGTGAAGATGCAACCGGCTTAGTTACAGAGGCGATAGGTTTCCTATCCGGGAGGTACTATTTTACAGTGAATCTCTTCCACTTTGACTTGGGAATAGGTGGGCAGCGTTAGTTTTTCCACCAGACCTTTGCAGGCTTATTAGATAGAGGTGTGTTTTCTTTATGATGATATTCAACAGAGCAGCCAGAGATCACTTCTTATGCCAAAATTCTCTGTGGCCTTGTGAGTCCTGATTTAAAGTAGTGCTGACTTTTTGTGTCATATGTTCAACTGCTGGTAAGTGTCTGCTTTGAAAGAGGTAGCATTCGACTGTAATCAGGTAGCTGCTCTGACTCACTGTCATTATGGGCTGGTATAGAATCATTTACTGTTGTGCTATAATTTGTATTGAGATACCAGTAGGAACGCCATCAGGGACCAGAATGTTACAGAGCTTGTACTAAACTTCGTGCAAACACTGCAAAAAAGACAGTTCTGGCCTGAAGAGCTTATAAGAATTGACCCCAGCTGACTTCCTGCCCTTTGGGCAGGGGGCTGCACCTGATGATCCTTTCCAGCCCTAATGTCTATGAAATCTGTGAAATTAAGTGCAGGGCAAGGGAGAGTTGGTGGGTGGCTAAAAGTTAACCTAGTCAATAAACTGGGCATGTCTTAACTTGATTCCCATACTAAGTTGTTATCCGTGGGTAGGCTGAAAATGTCCAACGTCCATATGAAGCTGCACTGCTCCACTTCTGCATGCAAGGGAAAACCCAACAGTTTTAGCAAGAATGATAGTTGTGGATTAGGAGGAGGTGGCTCGCTGGCAGATGCTTCAGCCAAGTGAAAGATCAAAGGTACTAAATTAGTGAAGCAAAACTAAAATGGGAGACCTCAGTACATACATTGAATGGAAATGTGTGTAGCCAGTTCCACAAGTCTGCAAAGACTTCATCCAGTATAGCCAAGGAATCCTAATGGAGCAAAGCACTCTTGGTACAGCTTATCATGAAAGAAGGTTACAAATTAAAGTTTCTAGCAGGACAGCATCAGCACAATTTTATCCTTGACTTCTTAGTGGAGAGGTGTCCCACCTAGAAAGCCAAAAAGACCAGAGCAGCTGGTAGTAATTAGTGCAGCTCTGTTGGCCTCCTCAACATAGGTCAACAACTGAATTAATATGGAGGCTGAACTGCTCCCATGGGGTTCCCTCCTGGTCAGGTACTGGTTGGTGATTAGATATAAACTTCACTGTGACAGCATCTCTTTGCTGAGAAGATGGACACAGGAGTGCTTGTGGCTTTTGAGTCCCGCACCTTTCATGAGCAATAACCAGTCAGAGGTAATAATCAAATCCCCAATGCTACCCCACCACCCCCATGAATTCCAGCTCATAGTTTGTTTTTCATAGATTCATAGATTTAGGGTCGGAAGGGACCTAGTAGATCTTCTAGCCCGACCCCCCGCCAGGGAGGAGAACAACAAAACTCCAAAACAAGAAACGGGACTCAAATGAGTCCAGCCAGGTAGGCATCCAGCCTCTTCTTAAAGACCCCCAGGGTAGGGGCCAGCACCACTTCCCTTGGAAGTTGGTTCCAGCTCCTAGCCGCCCTAACTGTGAAGTAGTTTTTGCGGATGTCCAATCTATACCTCCTCTCCATCA